CGTAATTTCAGGTGCCATAATTTATTTCTTGATAAAACAATATCAAACTGGAAAGGTTATTGTTGAAACACTACGCAAATTTCGAAAATATTAAAACTACTATAACCTCTACACTGTTAATTTCGTAAAAGAAAAACTAATAATATCACTATTTATAAATTGTTTTAAAGGTCGGCTATAAAGTTCAAAACCGTTGATACGATCCAACGTTATCGTTAGATTTGAAATATAGACACTGAGAACACTTTTCGCAAGTAGGGTGTAGGATCAACTGACATTTTAAAATTAGAATATGTAAAAAATCACGTGGACGCTTTTTAAATAGAGCAAAATAGCGCCGAGTAGTATTGTTTAATTTATGAACTACGTTATATATAATATACGTGTGTATTTTTTAACACCTGTAGACGTGTAGGTATTCTAGGATAAGCGGTACATTCAAAAATAGTGTACCTACCCATTACAAGTTTGCACTGAGAAAAATAAATAGGTATTTTTCGTTCATATGGGTAGATTTTGGCGGACCCTTTTACATAACCATGAGCCGTTATAGAAGTGTTAAAAGTTCTAAGGCTTGTCTTTGTTTGCTTATTTGTCTTGCTACCAAGGCTTTTCACCTCGAACTTGCGCGTAGTTATCTGCAGAATGTTTTTTGTCTGCTCTCCAAAGATTTATTGCGTCTAGAGGACGTGTTTCAAATATATATTGTGATAATGCTACGAATTTTACAGCTACCGAAAAGGACTTAAAACAATTTTTGTTTAACGCTTCTTCTAAAAAAAATATTGTTTTTCATCATAGCCCTTCTGTTGGAAGCCACTGGTGGAATTTGGGAAGCCGGGATTAAATCTGTCAAAAACCGTTTGTCTCGCGTTGTCGGTCAACAAATTTTAAAGTACGAGGAATTTTTATACTATTTTAGTGATGATAGAATCAATCTTAAATTTTTTAACGTTGGAGCTCTTAACCGCTATACCGGTTCCGGATTTTACAGATATAGCTATTTGCTGGCAGCTCCTACAGTTATTGTACCAGGACTTCTGGAATCGCTGGCAGAAAGAATATTTGCATTGTTTACAGCAACGTTCCAAATGGTTGAAACCAGTCTCACCCTTACCTGTAATTGACACGCTTGCTCTAATTAAAGATGAGAACTTACCTCTTGTCGGTGGCCATTGGCGCGCATAAGTGAACTCCAATATGGAAATGATAGTCTCGCCAGAGTAGCCACAGTTCGAACCGCTATAATGGATCTCTCTTAAGAGACCATTAGTGCCTTCTGACAATGAGTAGCATATTGTCTATCAGTTATTTTATGTACAGAACATCAAAGTTTAATTTATTTTTGTATTACTTTGGGATTGCTTATATTTAGATTAAGAAGATATTATTATAACACATGATTACTTTAGTGGGTTACTTTTTTTTGTTTTATTAAGCAAATTTTTATTATTTTTTGCTAATTATATTTCACGCCTTGTCCTCAATGATCAACATAGTAGTACCTTCTCTCTAGTAGAATTTAACCACGATTTTAAAGGTGACCACCAAAAATCCACTAATCACACGCGAAAAACATGCTATGATCCATGGAATGGTGACACCTGACATACTGTTCCTAGTGGAGCTAACTTCATTCTTCATCTTCGTGTTGAATTGAAACCACGTTCTATTTTTTTTTTAATTTTATTTCACCGAAGTACAAAATTTGTTAATTACTATGGGAAAATCACGTCGCAGAAGATCTACAAGTAGCTCCAGCAGCAGCTCTGAGGATGAGATTGTAGCTTTACGGCGTGAAGTAAAGAAATTGAAGAAAAAACTTAACCGACCAGCATATAAGAAAATCAAGAAGGAACCCAAAGAACCTAATAATTTACAGGAATATGAGTCTGCAGAATATTCCACTGATGGAGACGGCATCTGTAAGTTGCTATTATTGTCATGACCCTGGTTGTTTCAACTGCCACATTACTATAATCTAAGTGAAACGATTATTTAAATAACGATCTGAGTGTGACGATCGTACATGATCTGAGTGTGAGGATCAAAATGGTGATGTTTTGTTAATCTGAGTGAGATGATTAATCAAAACAGCGATCTGAGTGTGACGATCGTATAACCTTTATCATAACTTGAATAAAATCGATCTGAGTGAAAAGATCTTTGTAAATGAATAACTACATCATGTATCCTTTTGGTACCGAAAACAAAAACGTGTTTTGTTATTTATTCTGCATGTAATTCACAGTGCTTGCTTGACAATTAGTGGCCTTGTGCTATTTGGTATGGATAACTGGCCAACATGATTATGGTCTCGCATTGAGATAATATCCAGTTAACTATTGGAAAATACTTCTTTGTAACTGTTTGTTTACAATCAATAGTTTATTGACGGTCGAAACAGTCTCAAATATCTATTAGAAAATATGCGAATGATTTTTTCTCCTGACATTTGCTATTATTTCAGATGTTTTATCAGATGATGAACCAGAACAAGTAGATCCTTTAGAAATCGAATTTGTGAACGTTCAGTCTCTTACTGGCCAGGTGCTTACTGCTTTAGGGGATGATGGAGCTTGTTCCAGTGCACCTGCTGTTGTTATTCATGAAAGTTTAGTCCCTCGTTGGGAAAAGAATATGAAAGATGGTTTGGAAGCCTCCATTAAAAAAGATCTATTACAAAAATATCCTGCAGCTCAGAACTGTGCATTGCTATCTCCACCAAAACTTAACCTGGAGGTTAAGTCGGCAATAAGTGATAACACAGAGAAACGTGATATAAGGTTACTTATTCAGCAGAGTCAACTCTCTTCCGGGATTATTGCCATAGGAAAATCACTGTCAATTTTATTGAATGAGGCCAAACAAGAAGCCAATGATGAAAAATTAGTTTTGATTGAGGCTCTTAGTGACGCAGCCAGAATCCTGACCGACTTATTTCGGGAGTAGTCTGATATTAGACGAAATCTCATAAGTATTACTCTTAACGAGGAATTAAAAGACACTTTGACCACTTCTGTGTCTGACGGTTGGCTATTTGGTGAACATTTGTCAGATCGAGTTAGGGCCGCAAAGGCTATAGAAAGGTCGAGCAATGAACTAAGACAGAAACAGGCAAAGCAAATGAACAAAGGAAAGCAGACAAGTTCGTTAAACAGAAGAGGTCCACCCAGGAATCGTGCCTATCCGAGTGGACCGAAGTACCAAACAAGGCCAATAAGAAGGTCCAACCCAGGTCCTGTTCGTCAAGCTGGTTTCAACAGAAATCTTCACAGGAAGAACAAGGAGAGAGAGAGGAGCAGGAGGCACTAGCTGAGGTAAGTCTTCTAGCGGGTAGGCTAAGCCAGTTTCTCGAAATATGGGAGACAATTACATCAGATCCAGTGATCCTATCTGCTATTGAAGGTTACGAGTTGCCTTTCCGTTCTCGGATAATTCAAGAAACATTGCCACCCGAAAGAATATGGTCTACGCAAGAACATGCTGACTTAAAGTTAGAAATTGTTCATTTATTAGAAATAGGAGCAATAAACAGTTGTCATCCAAGGAAAGACCAGTTTGTCTCTCCTATTTTTCTAGTGCCTAAATCAAATGGTAAACAAAGATTAGTCTTGAATTTGAAAAATTTAAATACATTCCTCTCTGTCGATCATTTTAAAATGGAAGACAGGAGAACTGCGACAAGAATTATGACCCCAAATTCTTACATGGCCTCCATTGACTTAAAGGAGGCTTATTTTCTAGTAAATAGTCATAGGAAATATCTACGTTTTCAATTTGAGGGTAACCTTTTTGAATTCACCTGCCTGCCATTCGGGCTCTGTACAGCCCCATGGCTCTTTACAAAAATTATGAAACCTGTAGTTGCTTATTTAAGAGAGAGGGGCTTCTTATCGGTTATATATCTTGATGATATTCTGTTGTTTGGTGAGTCATTTGATGAGTGTATGGACAATGTATATAAGTCGAGGCATTTTTTGGAGAGATTAGGATTCATTATTAACTTTGAAAAAAGTCAGCTACATCCTGAAACGATGTGCAAATTTCTAGGTTTCATATATAACTCAGTCTCTATGTCTATTGAACCTACTGAAGAAAAACGTATCCGTATTTTCCAACTTTTTAATCAGATAAATTAGGATTCATTATTAACTTTGAAAAAAGTCAGCTACATCCTGAAACGATGTGCAAATTTCTAGGTTTCATATATAACTCAGTCTCTATGTCTATTGAACCTACTGAAGAAAAACGTATCCGTATTTTCCAACTTTTTAATCAGATGTTAAACACTTCTTCTTGCTCCATAAGATATTTTGCCAAATTCGTCGGAATTTTGGTGGCCGTCTGTCCGGGTATCCAATATGCTTGGGCATATTCGAAGAGTTTGGAAAGAGCCAAATATTTGGCTTTAAACAAAAACAAGGGAAATTATGACAAGAGAATGATTATTCCTCTGAATGTAAAGGAGGATATCAGATGGTGGTTGGTTAATATCAAGTCATCTAATAATCCTATTTCATCGAACAAATTTGCCTTGGAGATCTTTTCAGACGCCAGTTTGTCAGGATGGGGAATTGCGTGCAAAGGAGAAAGATCTAATGGTTTCCGGAGTAACGAAGACATAAATCATCACATAAACTATTTAGAACTCCTTGCTGCATTTTTTGGGTTAAAGTGTTATGCAAATGATCTGAATAAGTGTGAAATACTCTTAAGACTGGACAACACCACAGCAATCTCCTATATCAATCGAATGGGAGGAGTTCGCTTTCGCTTATTGAATAAATTAGCAAAACAAATTTGGCAATGGTGTGAAGCACGAAGTATTCGTGTCTTTGCTTCGTACGTTAGCTCTAAAGATAATTTTGAAGCAGACTTTGAATCAAGAAAAGGTCCCACCGAAACGGAATGGGAGCTTTCTGATTATGCATTCACTAAAATCATTATTAAACTGGGAAACCCAGTAATCGATCTCTTTGCAAGTAGAGTGAATACTAAATGTGAAAATTTTATATCTTGGCAGAAAGATCCCGACGCAGTAGCAATAGACTCGTTTACCGTTGACTGGGCACAATATTTCTTTTATGCTTTTCTTCCATTCCCACTGGTTTTGGCAGTTTTACAAAAAATCATCAAAGACAAGGCAAAAGGCATTGTGGTTGTCCCATGGTGGCCGAATCAGCCTTGGTTTCCCTTATACCAGAAACTTTTAGTTTCTGAAATTGTTCACCTTGATCCTAA